CTAAAACTGAACCCAGTACTCGAGGTGTGGCCTCACCAGGGCTGAGTACAGGGGGATGATCCCTTCCCTAGCCACCCTATTTCTGATACAAGCCAGGATGCTGTTGGCCTTCTTGGCCACCTGAGCACACTACTGGTTCATGTTCATCTGTCTGTCGACCAACACCCCCCAGGTCCTTTTCCACCTGCCAGCTTTCCAGCCATTCTTCCCCACACCTGTAGCACTGTATGGCATTGTTATGACCCAGGCCTGTCCAAGTCCTTCGGCAGAGCTTTCCTACCTTCAAGCAGATCAACACTCCCAGGCAACTTGGTGTCATCTGCAGACTTACTGAGGGTTCACTCTATCTTCTCATCAAGAACACTGATAAATGATGTTCAGTAGAAATGACCCCAATACTGAGCCCTGGGGAACACAAACACACATATCAAAATAGTAGTATAGGAAGGAGAGGCCAAGGGGACCAGGTTTGTTCAGCCTGGAGAAATGGCTGAGGGAAGATGTAATTCTGCTATCTAAAGGGTTATAGGGAAAACAAAACAACTTTGTGCACCACGCAGCTGCTCAGGAGGAAAAGGTAAAACCCCATGGGCTGAGATAAGAAGTTTACTAGAACAACTCAAAAAGGGAAGAAATGGCTGTAAAAATAAGAAAATAATATGCAAGATGGGTGCTGTAAAACCCATGACTCACTGAAATCACCTGACCCTACTGTCAGGCACAAAACCCATGTGCTTCTGTCAGGCCAGCCCTCCCCTTATATAGCAGGCATGATGTCAGCATGGTATTGAATATCCCATTGGCTGGTTCAATTGTCTATCCTGGCTGTGGCCCCTTCCCAGCTTCTGGTGAAAATTAACCCTGTCCTAGCCAAACCAGGGCAGGTGTACAGCAAAAGCACAAGTGGCAACAGCTGCAGCTTGCAGAAGGGAGACTGCTGATGACACACAGAATACACTTTCTTGTTTCTTGCACAAGAGTGCAACAGTGAACTAGGGAAGTGCTGTAATCTCCATCCTTGGAGGTGTTCCAAACTCAGCTGCTCCTGTCCCTGAGCAGCCTGAACTAGCTTTGAAGTTGGCCCAGCTCTGAATGGGGAGTTGGACTAGGTGATAGCCAATCCTTTTCCACTATGGTTGTGGAGCTCTTGCCTAAGCTCCTACCCCTTCTGAGAGATTTCAGAGATATTTTTTTGTCCCAGCCAAGTTTAATTTGCTTGCCCCAAGTAAGTGAACACAAAAGCGTCTTCCTCCTTCCCTGTCTCAGGAGCTGCTCTTCTGATAAGTGGATCATCATGGTCTCAGGTCACCCAAGGGGAGAAGGTCTAGGCTGGCACCAGGGCTTGAAAGGGTCAAGTAAGTCACTGAACCTGTAGTAGCCCTGAGATGTGGACTCCCTTAGCAGATACTTAAGCCTTGCCTCTTCCACCTTTCTAAAAGGACAACCTCTTCTGCACCTTTTAAGATAGCTGTAAATCAGTTTTAAAGACCACGGTTACCTTTTCCACAGAGAAATCACTAATTATGTGTATTTTCAGTTGCATTAATGGAAACTCAAATTTTAGCTGCTCACAAAAGTCACATTTGTCTCTTGATGGGGAAGATGTGGAAAATTACCTTCATTCACTCACAACTGGTGAAACTACAAAGCAGAATGATCTGTTAACACAGACTTATTTCATCTGGACTCCACCAGTGGGTCCAGTTATTAATTGATGTTGCAGTATACCAACAATACAAATGCTGGGCATGCCAGTTAAGCTGATTCTACTATAATATACACTTCATAAACTGAGACATATTTTTCTTAATTCATAATTAATATTTTCTTTCTTCTAGTGAAATCTTCTACCAGCATGCCTTTAGTCACATGCAAATGAAGGCACTTTTCTGTAGGAAGTAGAGGGGTGAAATGGTAACAAAGCATGTCATGTAATTCCTCAATATTGAGAGCTGGAGTTGAGGTTTAAGTTGACTTCTAACAATCTTTTTCCTTCAATTATTTAAATTATAATAATGCTGACAATTTATATATATGCTGAATACCTTCTTCCATGATCTTTGAATAATTTTAGAAGGGCAGGTAAGAGTAATCTTTGAGTGGGCAGAAGTCAAAGTTGCCCAACAACTCAGCTCCAAATTGCTGGCCTCAGAACCATTATTTAAAGAAAAGTGTTGAGCAGCCATTTGTCCAACTAGGCACATTAAAAGACTTAAGTAATTCTGTATAGAAGAGTTGGAAACACCAACATTTAGGTATAAATATACATAAGGAAAGAGTCTTTGATAATTCTAGACCCCTACTGATGATGTTAGCATAGTGCCTGCCTAGCCCATCTTTACAAAAAAGCTCTGTGTACTTGATAGATAACTCTAAGCCATATTTAAAGATCACAAGAACCTTTTCCATATGGAAGCCTTTAAACATAGAATTTATGGCACAACAGAATAAGAAGAAAAAAGACTAAAACTGAGTGCAATGCACAAACTGAGAGTAGTTCTGATTTAAAACAAACAAACAAACAAACAAAAACCGCCCTGTAGTAACTTTCAGATGCAGGAAAGTATTTCTGAAGGAGTCGAAAAGCAGCCAGCTTCAGACAGTAGCAAGTATTACACAGCTTGTGTTTATAAGATGTCCCCATCAGCAAGGGCCCATCTGAACAGTCTGCAAAAAGAAACAGTATTGATATATATTTTAAGTTGTAATTCAACATGCCGGTATCAGATTCACCATGGCTATGAGCAGGAAGCTCTGTGGAAGTATCTGTAGCATTTACTTTTTTAATGCCCAGAATTGCAAAATACTCTGATTATTCTCCTCTTGTAAGATTGTTTTAGTGTTCAAAAAGCTACAAGAAATGGTCAGTTCTGTCATGTTTTGTTCATTTATTTTCAAGAGCACTGGCAAAAGCTGAAAAAATAAAATATACTTTGGATTTCTGATGCAGGGTTTTACTTATCTGCCCACACTACATAGATCCACACGTGTGCTTCTAGGATGCCACAGAGAATCAAAATGTTTGGAAACTAAATGATCTCTGTCAGGTGCAATAAAGTTTTTAATTGGTTACAGTGGTGACAATTTAGAAGGAAAAAAATCAGCTTTCCTATTGCATAAGATTTAGTAAACAAAGACTGCCATAAATATTACTTACAGGACTGGTGTGAGCCTCAGGTATTCACTCAAAAGATAGAGAGACAATCTCTCCATTAAGAATCTATTAAAATTGAAGAATAAATAAGAAGTTATTTATTGGAGAGTGGCTCACACCTGATTAATCTGGCAATTGAAGAAGTAAAAATATGGAAGGCCATTAATCTCCTGGCTACATAAGTAACTTCTGATGCTTTATGGGTGGTTTAACATCTGATATTTCTGCAAGCAGAAGTCTTCCAACAAGAACCAACTTAATAACATATATTGTGAATAGATTGCTCTTATGTGAGAGAAAAAAAATATTGTAAAGCTATTCTCTTACAATCTTCTATTTTACAATTAAATTTCAATACATGTTGTATTTGTGTTCTGATACAAACATACATATAAAAATTCTAGGAGAAGTCTAAAGTCAAAAAGGCATTTCAGCTGTAATTCACATTGAGAAGAATAGAGAAGAGCTTAAAAATACCCATTTTTAAGTTCTTGGGTTCTTGGCTAGAGTAGGAGGCAACACCACTCAAATAACAAGTTTTCTTTAAAGCTTGGACATTAAGACCGTCATCTATCTTCAGATGTGGTGACAAGAAAAATATTTAATTCACTACACCTCATATTTTATGAAACCATTTTAGATGGAATTGTACCCAAAGGCTTTCAAGATCAGCTGAGTGGGTTTTCTGCTCACATAAGCACACTTAGGGCATACAAAAAATTAATACCAGCGTCCTTTCACCAGAGTAAGAGCCAACAAATTCATTTAGAGTTTAAGAGATGGAAGCCCGTTTTCCTTCTCTGTTCCTGATGGAAGTTCTACACACTAAGCAGAGTCTCTAGGGGTCTGCTTTATCCTTTCTATTACATTTATTCATGAGAAAACAACAAAGAGGGTGTTTATATTATTGTGCAGGTGACAATCCCACCCCCCAGCCCCTCACACAGTATTACTGCAGAACCGTCACTGCAGAACTGGATTTTGCAGAACTGGATTTTGCAGATCTGGCCTTGCCAGAAATGTTAAAGTTGACACCATCCATGGAAATATGACTCATTTGGCCAGGGAGAGAGCAGGCATAAGAATTTATTTCTGAAATTACACAAAATAGGCATAAATATTTCTGAACACATAAAATACATTGGAAATGTTGTTACATCAAGAACTATTACATATACATGCTAAATATAGGTGCAAACTTTTTTAATAACCAAGCTCCAAGTCAAAGAACATTTAGATGCATTTCATGTAAATGTGAAATATATGGGTCCATGGCCTCAAAAATAACTAAACAAATTAGAGGAAAAAAAGTCAGTCAAAGACTGCTAATTCAGAAGGTGATCTCCCTGGCAGAAGCAGTCCTTCAACCAAACTGCTGGTGGAATTTTCCAGAGATGTATCACCAAGCACGTGCCCTGCTCAAAGACTGTTCCCATGGTACCTGTCAGAGACAGGGCAGTGGGCTAGATGAACGTCTTTTCACAAAAGTGGAGATGAATAAAACTTTAAGTTCACTTCTGCAGTTGTCAGTCATATCTTGGCTTTTCCATACTTAAGAAGTACTGTGGTACTGCCATCAACTGGAGTTAAAAAATGTACAGAAAAAGATTTTTTTTCAGTAGAACCTATATTGTGCCATTCTGTACTGGGCCTCCCTTAACTTGGGTGGGATACCTGGAAATTCAGAGGTCTTTTTGTCCAGAAACATAATGGTTGCTTATGTGATTTGCATGTATAAGCATGAAAACATCCAAGCTACTTCCTTTCTAAATTATGTCTGAATCATATTTCTAACCTAGTAGGCAAATCCTTACCTCTATTTTTTTTTCCCCATGTAATTTTTTAGGACTATCAGGAAGCTTCTAATTTGGAGCAGTTTGTGACTCGCTTTCTTTTGAAGGAAACACTGAACCAGCTTCAGTCCCTCCAGAGCTCCCTGGAGTGTGCCATGGAAACCACGGCAGAGCAGACTCGGCAGGAAAGGTGAGCAAACCTTCTGCCCAGCTGCAGTGAAGGGATGAGGAATGGGGACACCATGAACCTCCAGGACCATTTCACCCAGCAAACTGATGTAGGAAATAAGAGAAACAGGGACACAATTTTTATTCTATATAGGAATTCAATAATAGTTTCCCTCAAACTGGATACAAGCAGGTTTAAATCTGATCCTGTGGTGGAACTGTATGTAAGAAGATCATATTATTGCGTCCTAAGTTCTGCTCCTTTGATTTCTTTTTAAATCCATTAACTCTTTAATATCAAATGTAGAAACCAAAGCTCTGCAATGTGAAGAGCTCTGAGGTTACTAAGACATTGACTGTCTCCTCGTTTGTTTCTTACAGCTTTATGATTTTTTTTTCATTCCCAGTTGCAAAACAATTCCAAAGTTAAGAGGGGAAATAGCCAGGCTCTTGCTCGTTACAGCTTCTTCCTAGGACACAGGGCCATAGTATTGGTTAACGTCTAACTCTATAAACTCTCAATCACCTGGGTAACCTATGTCTGTCCAAGGGGTTTAGCTGAATTTAATACCATGTCTTCATAGCTGAGTGTTTGCAGGTTCAAGGATTAAAAACAAAATTAAAAGGCACTGTGGTGGTACAATTCCCCCCAACTCACAGGCCACTTGACACAGGGTGTAGCTCCTGTCCCTGTCACACAACAACTAACTGGAAAAATGCAAATTGCAAAGGGCCAGGTAGCAGAGTGTTAAGGCACCCCCTAAATGTACCTGGCTCCTGCCTCCCCTGTTCTCTAGGGACAATAACAACAATTACCTCCTGCAGTGAAGCAGAACATTGAGGTGTGCCCTCAGTGCACCTGGGTCCTACTCCCTTCCTTATCATTGTGGTTGATCACTCAACCCTCTTACGACCTGGTACACTTGTTGGCTTGTGGCCCAGAGGGGAAATACCAGGACCCCAAGATCCAGTAAGTTATGGGCATGTGCAACTGATGGAAAAATACCAGGACCCTCAAGTTCTGGACATGTGCAAACCAGAATATTGCAACACTCTAAATCAGGCCGAAATGGAAGAGTACTTGACAAAACTCCATTTTCTCAGACCCTATAAATAGTGGTCCAAAATGAGATGCTTTGAGCAACCCTGGATCACAGTGGGCTGCACCCAGCATCTCCCCTGAGTTGGGACGTCTCTCAGGACCATCTGCCAGTGAAGTTGACACAAGGCCTGGGCAAGACCACCTCCTTGAGACTCAAATTCCACCCACTGAGTAATGCCAATGCTGATTTGCTCTAAACTCAAAGGGGGACATTTTGGGTATAGGACAGTCTCTTTTACCCACCTCTCCACCTATCTAAGAGTTTGATTTTATGCATTTACTTTTATAAGTGTGGGCATCGACATATCTCATTGGCCAAGGATTCCTGCATACACTTAGTGTTTATGCATATACACATGCTTTGGTTGGAGATACCTTGCAGTAAGTTAGTGTGACTCTTGTCATTCTCAAATCTGTAACTACGTTGCTGTTTTACGAAATCCCTTGTTACAATAAGTGCTGATAAACCCAGCCTTTGATGTATCTCATTTTATTAATAGATCTTGAGTTGCTCTTAAATCAAACCATGTCAAGCATATTAATCCATGACAAATGGGCATAGTAAGCACAGAATGACAAGCAAAATCACCAAATACTTACAACATGATATCCAACCAAATCCCACTTTTCCTGAGGATTGGGCCTTAGAAAATCCGCATAACTGAGAAGCAGTAAATAAACAGTTAACTGAAGCCAGAGGTTCAAGGTTGAAAGGACAAAGGCATGATTTGTAAAATGTTTGGAGTGTGTCTAGACACTTCCTCTAACGAAAGGGGAAGATTCACCCATGAAGTGCAAGAATTGTGCAATGTAGCGGAAGGATACAATTCCACCAAGCTGGTGTTATCAATTGGAAGAATTGCAAAAGCAATTTAAGGAGTCTGAATTAAAGCAACAAAAAAATGGGAGAATGTGATGAAATGATGCTACTGCAATCTGTAGCCTCCCCCTACTATCCCCCAATATAGTCCAAATTAGAAAATTGATTGATTATGTCTCCAGAGGACTCGAATGGTATTATTTGGGGTGATTACAGCTCAGATGAAGGTAATTCTTTCCAATCGCCCGAGCCCCCCTCATTCCCAGTCAGACCAATTATTAAAGCCGAGGACACTACAGAGCATGGAGCAGTGCAGGAAATCACACTACCAAAAGAGTCCCATTTGATCCAGTTCAGGTGGCAAATTTGCAGGAATTCTACAGCCTGGAGAATCTGAACCGATACCTATGGAGAGTGTCTGTAACTGGAGGAGACAGAATTTTGCTAAATGGCAATTAGGCCAATGGCTTTCGGGATCCTGTTGTCTTTTTAAATACTAGACCAAATCCCCTGAGTGACCCCCACTCACTAACAAGAAGAGTGGATATATTGGGCTGGTGATACTGATATCTTAGAAAGAACCTCTGTTAATACCTATCAGATCTCTAATGACCTCTCCACAGCAGTTGCAAAGGCTGCTGTATTAGAGGCTATGCATCAATGTGATCCCATTATTGATGTTCCTATTTTAGCACATGTAAATCCAATCTATTGTTAAACCACTGACAAAAGGACCTCCTTCCATACTCAAACCCTACCACATTGCAAAGCGAGATGAAATCCAGAAAAACCTAAATCATAATTAACTAATACAATTAACACAGGCTATCAGAGATGAGGAGGAAGAAGAATTACAGTAAAGGAAGGTTCCTACATGGTCTACATTAATTATAAATCACATATGAGAAATGGGATGAGACGAAATTCATAGAAAACCAAAAAATACAGGTCATGCCATTAGCCAAATGAGACAATCATGTCAGACAGCTCCCAAGAACAAAAGTCTTGAACTGCTGATAAATCAAACATGTCAAACATTCATCCACAGCAGGTAGTTGATGGGTTTGTTTTCCTCAGTAGGCTGTTGTTAAAGATGATGGGAAAAGCAAAACACAAGCTGGTGAGTATCACAGGCAAAGAAGAACTCAACACTTCATAAGTTTTAAAATGCATTGCTTTTTCATTCTTTTCTTTTGGAAATGCCATTTTCTTGTTTGTTTTGTTGTTGGTTTTGAGACCTCTGAAGTACATGAATAATCCACTGCGGTTTTACCCCAGTAGCTTGACTGCAGGAACCAAGGAGATTTTGAAAGGCTGAGAGTGCTCCAAGTATGCAGACCATATATACTCCTCCAGTCATACATATATCTCCAGGTTCCCCATACAACTAATGGGAGAGAGAGAAGTCCTGAATGGTCAGTTCAGAGCAGGAGCCTCTTAGGTTCTCTTACACCCTCTAGAATAATCACGGACTTCTCTGACTTGCCTTTTAGGCCAGCCTCTCTAGAAAGACCATCTGAGTAACTCAAATTACTCACTTGGGTGCATAGAATTGGTTAATATGAATATCCCTTTTGCTACCAGCTTTCTCATCTGCACTGACTGGTAGGGCATCGTGGAGACTTCCCTCTCCAATTTTATCAGTACAATTGTTAGAAGTATCTTCTTGGATGGTGAATTTGGTTTATGGCAAAGAAAATGAGAAAGGAGTGTGACACTGTTAAGCCAAATACCATCTTCTCCATTTTCTAAAGTAGCAATAGAAAAGCCAAATGAACTCAGCACTTTACAGCTATTTTGGAGAAAATGAGTGAATTGTTAGTGCTCCAGTCCCTATGTAAAATCATCTTCAATTATCTTTAACTTAACTTCAGGAGACCAGAGAGCTTTCCAAAGCAGTGACCTGGAAATTATTTAGTGAACTGCTTAGACTACTGTCTAATATTCTTTGCAACCACTCATCCAACTCACTGCTCAAAACTAACCATAGTCCCGGTCCTTCATTGACCCAGATGGGTGAAGAAGAACCATGCAAAGAGAGCCTCAGTCCCCACACAAAGTTTCAAGCTTCAATGACTCCATTACCACAGTACAAACATAAGTCACTTCTGTATCCGATATGTTTCAGTACAGGTCCCAGAAATATATCTTTATCTGTCCAGTCAATATTAGCTAATTCTGTTTGATTTTTCTTCCTCCATAACGGATACATGCTGCTGTTTGCCTTCTCGAACTTTAAGGTGAAAGGGTCAATGTTTAAAGTTCATATTTCACTTTTCACTCTTCTTGTGACCCCAGCTCCTCTGCAGAGATGCTACAAAAGAATCCCATGAATGAAGAAACGGTGTGAATCAATTATTCCTCAGGGCAGGTCAGAATCACAACACAGACAGACACTAACCTTGAGCTTTCTCTCCTAAAAGGTAGATATATGCCATCTTAATGCTCTCTTTTTTTTTTTTTTTTTTTTTTTTCACTTTTCTAATAACTAGCACCCTAAACACAACTAATTAGTAATAGTGAAAATCTGGAAAATAATTCCATGGTCTCAATAGGTATTTCTCCTTTTTAATTCAAAAGGGAACATGCAAGCACATGCTGTAGGAATAGAAAGAGGAGAGCTCTTCCACATGTTTTATCTTATGAAGCCTCCTGTGTTTCTGTGCAGACAAGGCCCCACAAAACCAGAAGTGCTCTCAATTCAATGGCCAAGAAAACGCTCAGCTCGAAGGCTTCAGAGGAGCAGCAGCCTGTTGTCAAATAGCCCTCATTTTAGCACAGGTATGGCTTTTCACATTGCAAATATATTTCAAACACCTGCATGCACACATACATACAGAAAAATGTACATGTATCTTCCTCTCAGAAATTTTATTTAGACATGGTAACTAACTCAGATACTTAGACAGAAATCAGTCTTCCATTTAATATAGACATTATTTGCACAAACTGTAAGGAAATAAATATGTACTCATAGATCTGAAGTGATAAAAAATAAATGCATAGTTATGCAAAAAAACTGTGATATCATTTTGGGGCTGTGGGTTGAGTCAACATTTCTTAGGTAATACTTAGATAAGAATGAAAAGGTGAAGAACTAAGTGTTCTCTTATAACAGCTGAATGGAAGAAATGAGAAACAGAAATGGAAAATACAAAACCTGAAGGTAAAAGATGCTATTTAAGAGGATACAAAAAAAAATGAAAAAGCAGCTCTGCTTGGAAGACATGAGAGGGTACTTTGGTAAATGTACTTCCAAATTCTTTGGAAGCAGTGATGTTAAGCATGAGGCTTCACTGAAAGCATCTCCAGGCTTAGGTGATGTCTCAGAATCAAGGCATGGAAATGACTGAAACACTACAGTATGTTGTGAAGGTAAAGAAGGATCATTAGCTGCAAGGGACATCCAGTTAATGTTGTTATATCATCTATAGAGTCCACTGCAAGATTAGTTGTCCACCATAATTACTGGATGAATACATGAAAACTCCCAAAACAGCATATTGCAGATGACTGTAACAAAACCAAAAACCTCTCAGAGTGTAACCATAAAAACAGCTGTTCCAGCTAAATTAATCTTTTCTGAATGAAGAGAAAGTCCCTTGTTCCCAATGCATATGAGATATTCCATGATTGTGTTAGATGTCTCCTTCAGGGATCCCTCAACATCAGGATTCCTCAACACACCATGCCAGAAACCTAAATCATTTAGCTGCCTATGTACATGAAGATCATTATCTTCTGCTGGTCATAAGCATGTATTTTTTTTATTGGGAAGGAAAATACATGCTTTTAACCTTTGAATAATCCTGGAATTATGCTTGAAGCATTGTGTCAGGACCCTAAAAACAGCAACAGGTTGACCATGGCAATGTCCTTGTAGTCAGGGTCCTACAGCAGGTCTGCTGTCTCTCTGCAGGAGAAAGTAAGATCCTATCACCTAAGCTGTATTGCCAATGCCAGGATATTTAAGACACTCTTGGCTGCCTTTCTCTTACTTTCCTCAGAGGAAGGAGGAACAGCAGACAAGACACAGCACATGGTCCCTCCATGAAATGTGTTTGAAAGCCATCTCAACGACACGCTTGCTATGCAGCACAAGAGCTGACTCTTACTCTTATAGAAAATTTCACATAAAGAAGATTAAGAAATGACAAACTACAAAAATTATGACAAAGTTTTAACACAGAGAGACACACAAAATGATTTTGCATTTTGAGCAGAAGATGCTCAGGTTATGACCTGGTTCCATCTGCAGAGGAGACCACTCCTTCCTTCAGGTATCAGCATGATATAAAAAAAACTGCATTAATCTAGAATGTAGTTTTCATTCTGTGCTGGATTTCTTTTGTATCTTAAAAAAAAAAAAAAAAAAAAAAAAAGCAAGTCATCAATATAGTCAAAATCATGCTTTCCTTTACTTTCACCTAAATGAACATTGAACTAGTTGCAGCACAATCTTTGAGTAGCAAAGTAAAAGTAAATTGCAGGTGAAGCTAAACTTTTTTACAACATAAATGAATACACTAAGTTCCAGAATTTAGTAACATTTTATAAATGCTCATTATTTATATTTTCCAAAGGTTGGATTGAGGAAGACAGCCAGTGGATGACCCAGATAAACAGACTCCAAAAGCTGATTGACAGGCTGGAAAAGAAGGTGTGCATTTTTTTCCATCTGTTTGTTTTCTCACTTTGAGTAAAGCAATCCTCAAGCCACAAATGGTCTCATGCCCCAGATGCAGACTTTCCAATCAATAATGAGTGAAACTTCAACATTGCGTAGGAGAGCTAACACTCATTAAATGCCTGCACCTTCCTTCCACCTTCTTTGCTATTTCATGAGACCATGACATGGTTTTTCTACGCTTCCCTTTCCCCTTCCCATCACCACAGATAGGACTTTTCCTAACAATCTCAAAAGTCACATTATTTTATGTCTAGAGAATGTTATTGTATTTAGTCATGCTTGTTTGGGGGAATATGGGACAAGTATCTTTTTTAACAATCTGATTCTTTTCCTCGCCAAACTTTGCCACTGAAGCTTGACAGAAAGCTTTGTTTCCTCCTTCTCTGTCAGAGAATACTAATTTATAAAGATAAAACACTTTCCTAGTAAGTACAGATCAACTATCCCGCCTGGGAGACGACTGCACTAGCCCCTAGAGCCCTGAGACCGCCCGTGGTTCCCACGCTAAAACAGAGCCCTCTGGGAGGCTGACAAATGACCCGTCTGTTCCAATGATACCAAGGCTTCCCAGGGCTTCTAAAAAACTCAGTAACATCTGTCTGTACAGAAAATATCTATTTCCTTCTTTTTTTTTTTTTTTTTAATTCAGATTGATTGCTACCCTAAGGTTTAAAAGTTGGTTTATGTCTGTGTGTGATGACTTTTTTGCAAAGAAAGAAGAGCAGAGGAACAAGTAAAGTTATAAATGCCTGTATTGTTCTCTACATAAAGTGTCCCCATTGAGAAGGACGTACAGACAATTTCAGACAGGTTCTAAGGAAGTGGCCGATTCAGTGGATTCTGCGATCCAGGGAATCTCTTCCTCTTGGTCTGCTAGAGGTGAGGTTTGAGGCTGAAGTGCTCTCAGCCCCAGGAGCTGCTCTAGTCCCAGTGTGACTGATGCTACTCCTCCCTGTAGGTCAGCGTTTGCCAGCAGCAAGGCTGTGTATATAGGGAGACCTGGATCCAAACACTGCCGTGGGTGCCTTCACCAGCACCCGCAAATGAACAGGCAGCACTCACAGAAATATGAACATGCAACAGCCTGATCATGTTCCTTCTTTCCAGTAGATCGGGATAGGTGCTCCCCCATGAACATTACCATCTCCTCTTTGTGGCTTGATGCATGCCTCTTATTTATCCAGGCACTGGCTCAGACCTTGGGTCCTGGAAGAGGAGTGTCTCCTCCTACTCACCCATTAGTCCAACTTCAGTTCAGTAGCAAATTATACTCACAGAAAATAGTTCAGTAAGGTTTAAAAAGAAGCCAGAATAAAGGGTGGTGACTTGACACAGAGCTTAGCAAGACAAGCATACTGACCTTTCTCTGCCGCTGCTTCCTCCCAAATGAACAAACTGCCCCTAGTTACCTTTCCCTTTTGGTCCCAGTTTGGGATCAAAATTTAATATTTCTGTTATTTCAGCCTTATGACTGATTAGCTGCATTACCAGTAATGTTACCCCCCAGCACTGCTGACCTTGCAAGCCTGCTCTCCAAAAGGAGCCTGGGATTCCCTTTGGTTATCCCTAAGGTCTGTCAGTCTCTCGCATCACTTCTCCTTAACCAGCTGTGAAATTCGACCATTCTTGTAGCACTGTCTGTAACTTCTGTCAGCTTCTTACTCTGCTCCTTGCTATGCTTAGCAGCTCCTCATGGTCTGCTCAGTCCATTAAGCCGCTGGGCAGGGCATACCCATCTGCCTTCACACAACAGCTTCCTCCCAGAGGTCATTTCTGCATGAGAATAGCAATTACACAGCAGCTGCTACGTTAACAACATTTTAGCAGCAACTTGATTTTTTTCTGAATAAATTTAATTTTGAGATGTCAAAGTCCATCATGATATGTAACGCCCACTTTTAGTCCAGCTTCGCTCCCAGCTCTGTTTTGGAAACAGCAGCTCACTGCCCTGCCACAGTTGCCTCCTGACATGGACTGATGCCAAAAGAAGTTTAAGGAAAGTTAAAAGAAACCTGGCATACAGCAACAACGCAATGCAAGTGTTACAGAAAGCAGCCAAGCATTTTGCAGTAAAGAAACTTGTAATAAGGATGTTATAAAATGCTCAAATCTGCTACAGATAAATGACAGAGAACTTCAATCTGAAGAGGAGCTCAGTGCCAAAGGGAAATAGGACATAGACCATCCACAATTATCTCCTTATCAATATAAAACTTGATTAATAAAATATAGCTATTAGATAACCCAAATTTTGCCAGTAGAGAGCCTATACGCACCTCTGCCTAACGTTATGTCTGCTCAGACTGTATCTCACACACAGGTCTAACTGTGAGAAGTGTTAAATAGCAGCCATCTTTCAGCAGCTCCTAAAGCTCCTCTTTTTGATTTTGCCTTGAAACAGATCAGAAAGGGTCACACAATCACACTTAAAGGCAATTTCAGAAGCTACTGCTTCTCAGTTGACGGGAGGTAGGACTGTGGAGGTATTTTAAAGCCCCAGCTCTGAGCTGAGTAAGTTTTTATTTCCGAGATGTGTGATAAATGTTTGGTAGGACCTCTCCATTCTCCATCCTTCTCCACACTGGGCTACTTCACTCATGCTCAGCACCGTCAGCTGATGCACGAGCACTCTTCCCACACCGATGAGAACTATGTGCTGGTGCTCATGTGCTCCAAGGTCGCAGCAGGCTATGTGTAGACTTACCCCATGTGTGTGGTCATGCCCTGTCTAATGAGAGAACTTTACTGAAGAACTGCTACAGATATTTTTTAACTTCTTGAGGGGGCCAGCAAGTTATCCATCAGTGGTTCTTACTAGAAAACTACCTGGTGAAGGGTTAATTTAGTGTTGTCTACCTCTTCTGCTGTCTTCTGTCAAAGATGAATTTAACCATGAATCACTCTCGCAAGCTGTCTTTTTTTTCTCAAGTTCTAAATTCATATATACTGAGAGAAATAGAATTCTTTTCTTGCTTAAGAGAAAGTCCTTAAGAGGAAGTCTACAGTACAATTTCAGTAATTCCTTTCCTCTTTTTCCATACATTTCCTTAGAAAAAAATTGCACTGAAAAGTATAGAAGAAACACAAGAATATGCATTTTCCCTCAGGGTTTTTATCTGAGGTGTCTTTATTGATAAATGAGCTGCTGGAGCTGGGTGGTTCTCCCTCCACACACACATTTCATGCCTTCCTATGCACTTTCTGCAGGAGAGGGACAGCTACACAGCAGTTACTGTTTGACTACCACTTCACTCCTGCCTTGCTCTACTACCTGCTGCTGGTGGAGATCCCCTGTTCATTTGAATTCTACCTGCACACCCCTTGTTGCCTTTTCACCAAGTACAGCATTTGTGCTCACAAAAATGCCTGAGGTTAATAATCTTCACCCAGCTGGAAGCAGAAGAAATTTGTCTTTGTTACCTAAAAATCACGTGCAGTAAGACGCAAAGCACCACTAATAGTGTACTTCGCTCCAGCTCCTTATTGCAAACTGATCTGCTTTTTATCAGGCCTGTGGGCATTTTTCAGAAATCCATATGGCACAGGGTTAGAAGGCACTCCATGTGCCTAGCACGTAAGTGATAATTTTGTGCGCAGCACTCAGGGGTGTTTGCATGAATTCCCGGTTCCTGAAGTGCCACCCAGCCTGGGTGCCAAGCAAGCATGCTGCTGCCTCACAGATGCACGGTTGCTGCTGCCCTGCTTGTCCTCAGATGCAAATGCAGCAGTTCAGAAACCTGACTTGGATCATCATGCACATCTTTTCCAATGTTAGAAAACAGTCCCTTGTGACCACAAACCCCTAGTAAAGAAGATTCTTCTGTGTGAAGTTTTACAATTGTGTAATAGCAGCTCATAGTTTGTTTCAAATGACCATCCTTGCTCATCTCTGTAGCCTGTGTAACCATTTGAGAAGATAACTGTCTTTTCTGAGTGAAGTCCCATATGCTTTTGTGAACAAGTGGATTTATTAGAAATGAAAATCATCTGTTCAGCATTATAAATGAAACTTTACAGAACACGGGTTTAACCAGTGCACTTCAGTTTGCAAGATTCTGCAAACAATGCTTGTGTTTGATTTACAGCTAATAAAGAAGGAATTTAATCATAAGTTCTGGAGATGAAACAGAATCTAGCTATTGGAATAGTTTGTTAAAAAGCCAAGGGCAGATTACAGCTGTTGTGTTGCCTCTCTCATTTCTATTTTCTTTCAACTGCTTCAAAGGACCTAAAGCTTGAGCCATTTGAAGAGGAAGTTTTGGAAGAAAATGCAAGATCTGTAAGTGCTTTTTCAAGATAATGATTTTGACATTTGATTTTGAACACCAGGTATTGAGACAACAGTCTCACCTGATCTCTTTTGTTAAAAAAAAAATTTAAAAAATCACCACACTCACTTTTTCTACTGATAAAAAAAAACATTTCAGTTAGAAGAATACATTGTGCAAGAGGCAACATAACAAAACTTGAAATACATGAGCATATTTTTGCATTGTTTTCAAAGGATATAGAGAACCAAAACTTCACCTCACGTAAGGAGGAAAAGATGTCATTAATAACATTTACCAAATTGGGCAGCAGTGTTTACAGGGGAGTAGCACTTCTGCTCCAAATCACCTAGTGCTGCATGCATGCTTTAAATCACAGTTGTATAGCCTCCGTCCCAGGAAACCTTAGCAGGAAGGATGGGAGAGCATCTAGTGCTCTAGCAATAATCAATATTACAACTCAGAAAACTAAAATAATGACCAGAAATAAACTTATTGCTGAGTTTATGTCCCAAGATTGAGCTCCATTTTTCAAATAGACTAGCATTCCTATATTCTGGAATATTCCTATATTCTTTGAACCTAACAAAATGCAAATCAAACACACATGAAAGAATAACCACAACAGATGATCCACCAAATTCGTTATTTCATCACAGGAGTTGCATTAGACTTTTTTCTTTTTTTTTTAATAAGATTATACAATATCACTAGACAGGCTGCTTATGACAGAGGGATAATCCACGAGATGACAGTATCAATAATCAAGGCAGAAACAAGTAAAAAACCTGTACAAGATATTAAGATGTATTAAGAAGCACATGGTGTTTCTTTAAATGTTGCATTAATAAATTTAACAAACCTCAGATAGATGAATCAATATATAAACTACTTAAAATAGCTAAATTATAATGGTAATATTTCGGGATAAATAGGTCTTCTGTACTGATTAGTGTTTCCATAGTCCTGCTTATTAAGACTGTTCATTTTTTGCCCAAAAGGTGTTGAGAAAAGAATCTCTAGTAATCATTTAACATGGGCTACCTTTGGCATCTCATTTAGGTGCGAGCTAGAGCTCTCAAGAGGTAAAACACCATGAAAGTAATGCTGAAAGTAAAACACCTCAATGGAAGTAACGCTGCATCCAGTTCAGTCTGTGGGAATATGCTCTTATCTCAAATCTCCTGCACAGATTTATCTAAGGAAATATGCCAACTATATTATTGAACATTTCAAAGATCAACATTTGCTTTGCACTCTTCCAAAAAGACTCCCTCATCCAGGGCTTGGACAAGTCTCGCTTTCTCTAAGGTGGACACTCATTTTGGGTGTTTCCATTCTGTGCCTCAGCTTAGACATAAAAGCCACACTCCAGCATATCTACCACTCCACAGCACTGAAAACAGGGACTGCAAACTTTCAAGGAACTTTTGTGTTTATTCTTTGATGATTGTCGGTTGTATTGTTTTATGGTAGACTTTTCTGAGTTTAACGTACAAGCAGTTCAGAGGAGATGTGGCAGTAACATTGTCATGTTTTTGTGTCAGCACATAATGATTGTTCAACGCCAAATGTCTGTGATAGAAGAAGAAATCGAGGAATTCCGGCTTGCTCTGAAGCAGTATGTGGAATCTGCTTCTACTCAGGGTGGATGCTTGCAGTAAGTAAGATGTTATTGTCCTTGGGCTGAAGTAAGGAATGTAACCTAATTTCTTCAATAACTTTTAAGTGGAGCTGGATTATTTATGAAGAGAGAATCTGTACTATCTTCTTTCCTGGCTGGTTATGTATATGTCTAAGACAGAGCTTTTCAAAGACAACTAAAACCAGAAAGGTATGTCAAAGTTTACGTGCAGATTTTAAATAGTATCACGAAATTATAGTACAGGCTATCACAAAGATACTAAAAAAATCTTTTAAGGCTTCTCAGCTCTGCGGGTTATCAATTCCCAGCTTCTGGAAGCTCCTAGGCTGACACTATTGAAAAACTCCTTTGCCATCCTTCATTTGTGCTCACCAGGCAAGTGAGCAACTTGTCAACTTGTTTGCCAGTTCTCTGCTTGGAACCTTTCAGAATCTTCCCTTTAGCCTGTCATTTTAATTTTTTCATTCATAATAAAGAATGGGGAAGATTAAAAAGCAAAATTTCAATGAAAGAGTGGATTTCTGCTTTGCTGCTTTCAGAATTAAATAAAACATTAAAACTGGGTTAAGAATAAAATCTAGTGATTCGCCAGTGTACTGAATTTCTTAATTTAACATACTGGAGGAAGCTACTTCTGTACACATTACAGATCATTATGAAATAAGTAGTTTTTATGATGTGTACACAATACAAGATCTTCCTAGATATTCAAAGGCTGTCTGTGACATCCTTAACTGGTGAGCCTTGTTGCCATGAGATCATCGCACTTAGGATTATCCTATCAGTAAAGTTCACACAGACCAGAAACAGTGAACTAAGCTAGAAGAACAGCATGACCTTTTTGTAGTGGTTCACTTGTAAAGGCAGACTGATGAGGAAAGTAAAATTCTCTTGTGGGCCACGAGCTGGAAAAAAACAACAAGGAGCCTCCCAGCCCCCTTCCAAAACAGAACATCCAGCAAAAAAACACTGTAGTGACTGCAAACTTGTCAGGGGAGAGAGCTTATGTGACTGCAGAATGCAACTTAAATGATGGCAAAAAGTCACTCTCTTGCCCAAGTCCAGAGGTGTTTGGTCAGGCTGTTAATGCCACCTATCGGCTGGCTTTTTACTGTAGCTGCTTATGACTGACTTTTTTTTCCAACAGGTCTTGATATTTTCCCTGTTTTACAATGTAGTTTCACATATCTCAGGAGAAAAATCAATAAACCATATAACTCATTTCTTATTACAGTATGAAACATAATCTGAGATCAGTTTTCAAACACATCAGTAGTTAAGATTAGTGATCACACCTGGGCAGAGAAATATATATAAATACACTTTTTGTGCTATACATCTAAACACCGATTTGAGTACCAGAGTACCCTACATGCTGTAAAGCCCTTTATGCTCAGAATAATAAAGGGGGGGTGATTCTGTGAGGAGAATCAGCAGATATTCTGTGGGTCATTTTTCACCCACGACAAACTGTTAGCTGGATAGCATAAGAAAAAGTAAATAGTAAAGTGTACCTGAAGCAGACTTCAGCCTGTCTGGCCTTATATTCCATTATATATACAGTCTACCACACTTTGATGCATCTCTCATACAAAAGAATGACTTATCACAGTGTAATTCTTCAATGAAACAGCACAGCTTACTCCATAAACTTATTTGAACTGTTCTCTATGTGCAATACACTGTGTTAGAGGATTTTCCCTGAATCACAGTTGTTTGATTCATTTTCTGTATTACTGATTAGCATTTCTTTAAATAAATGTCACTTTTGGAACAACATGAAAAAAGAGTTTCATCAATAAGAGTCTACTGTAATTGCAGTAATATAAAATATTAGTAAAAAGCCATGAAGATACTCCAAGAGGGTTTTTTAAAAAAACAATGTCAGGTAATTCGCATCACTTATTTGTTAAATTTGTTGGTTTGGGGTTTTTTTTTTGCTTGTTTTTTCAAAGATTACTACATGGGGTCCTACTCATAGGCAGTTTGGAATAAAACATGCATGTCCAGTAACTTTTTTGTGTTTTATTAAGTTAGTTCTATGCTATGATTTTTAGTGTTTCTATACAAAAGCTTCCAAGTGATTCCCGCTTCAATGTTTATGAGTTCTGGGAGAACAGCAACGCATGGAATAGGTGAGTGTCGGGGCTTTGGTTTGGGGGTTTTTGTTTGTAATACAGAAAGTTTTGAATGTTAGGAAAGCAATTGTGTACAAAGACTTGAATACAAATTGCTTTAAATGGTGCTAATCGATCTCTCGCTAAATATATCACAATTAATCCTTCAGAACAATAATTGTTAAGGACTAAAATATGCTGAAACTTATGAATAAAAATGTCAGAAAGACAAAGCTAATTCAAATAGAACACAAAGTCTGAAAGCGAATAGTTAAAGGTATGGAATCAGCTGCTTGTTAGTTCATCAGAGACAAAAGACTAGGGAAGCAGCAACATTACCAGTTTAATGATAATGAAAGAAACAAAAGGAGCCAAGGAGTGAGACAGGAGGTGTCCAACTCAGGAGGTTCCAGCAGAACACTTAAGTGTGCAAAAAGTCTTGGGGAACTTCCCCAAAACTTCCCAAACCCACATCACAAAACCCATCCAACTGATTCTAAGAGTGTCACTTTAGGGCCCAAAACAGAAGTTATAATTCTAGTCCAGCTAGCTGAATTCTAGCCTGTGGCAGGGAGATGCCTCAGAAACTGAATGGAGACAAGAAGATTTTAACAACATTTACTATTAAGAAAACAAACAAACAAACCCTATGATCCTAAATCTGTAGACAGAAACCATTCTAAAGGAAGATGGAGAAGGCTGTTGAAGCTTGGTTACTTTCCTTTCAAAGTCCAGTTAGAAGTTCACTTTCAAAAAGACTCCAGGATACCATAACACATGTCAACACCATACTGGCTCACAACCAAGGGATGAGCATCAGAGTAACAGTTAACAGTGCAGAAGACAACCCGGGTTTAAGGTAGCATGCAAGCACTCCACAGCTGGTCTGGGCTCCTCTCCCACTCTCACCACTGCCCAAGTTTTAAAGCACAAGATCTCTGTTACAGCATTAACTGTAAAATTTCTACTGTTCATGAAAAAAAAAAAAAAAAAAACCAACAAAACCACAAACCACACAAACTTTAAAAATCTTGATCTATTCTTATTTTCTACAATTACTTAGCCATCTTCAAATGAATTACAGCAAGACATTCCAAAGAAGTAATGTGGATTTCTTGGAAACTCCAGAGCTCATCACAACAATGCTAGTCCCTGGTAAATATAAATTTTCACACCATTTTGTTGATTCTGTGTGAAGAGTTCTGCTATGTTTGTGTGTTCCCTATGCAGGACCACTGCGTAATATCACCCTTAGTCAGGTCATCCTTGATGAAGTATGGGGGAGAAAGGGCCTCCATATGTTATTTTAAGCACAGAAATGTAAAACGCATCAGCAAGAATAAGACCCACACTGCTTTGATATATTGCAAAGTAAAGCTAGCAAATACTATTTAAGAAAATAGCTAAACAATAGTATTTGTGAATAGTAAAATATTCCCCATTTTAAGATTTTCAGGCAAAAAAACTGCTGATGAAGACTTTAATCATACTTACATTGACTGAATGGAGCCTTAATTACTAATAATTGGGTATTTACTAACCAATTTATTGCATATACTTCTTGCTATGTTAAAACTAAACTCACAAGCTACTCTGAAAAAGCAAAGTGTAGTTAAACCTTCCAGATTATTATCTCTAATATAAACCAATGAGCATGCACATCTTCTTTCTCCTAGAAATCACAGTTAAAAGAAACAGTGCAGAAAGCAAGCAAAGCAAGTGTCAGTCCCCTATTTACTGAGGGAGGACAGCACATTTTTTGTCTCAGGGAACAAAAATCCATTAAAATGATTTCCCAGTTTCCCCTGTATCTGACTACAGACTGAATTTAAAATAATAAAATCCCACATAGGTGGAAAATTACACAGTCCTTTACCTGGAGTTTCTTTTTTAAAGAAACCAGCCAGGATGTTTTCAGACTTCACAAGCCTGATCTGGACACACAACTGTATGCCAGGATTCCTCCAGTATCAGGAGATTCCACTTAATGAACCAAGATGAACCACTTCTTCAAATCTTTATCTTACTGGGAAATCACTGGATTTAAGACAAACTTGGCTGTAGGAAACAATGCATCCTTTTCCCAAATTTCTGTTTGTCCAAGAGCTAGAGTGTGTATGGCCCAGGAGTGTTCCTGGGGTGATTTACTCACAGCTAAAGTACAATTAACATAAAAGAAACACAATTTTCAAATGTCTAAGCACAGAAGTGTCTTAAATAGGATTCAAATGCTTAAGGCATCAACTCTGCCAGCTAAGAAGGCTTTCAGTCTGCAGCACTCTATCCTGGCAGACAGTTGCCATAGGAACAGCATTTCATTTCTCACTGTGTGCTCCTTGCTGGGGCAGGCAATGGGCAGTGATGTATTCACAGCTGGCTTTACAATTTTATAGATTATCTGTAATTTAGAAATCTGTCCAGAGATTTGAACTTTCATTTCATGAAAGGTATTTCCCATGTTTCACTTAGATAAATTATGTTTGTATTTGACAGAAAACATTCTTTAAGTAAAAAATGATGACTGCAGTCCCACTAGTATATTTTATGGAAGAATTTTAGACACCATAAAGTGATATCACTGTAAAATCAGAAGAAAAAAATAAATCTGCTACTAGCACATAGATAGGCTCTATTGTAAAACCCAATCTACCCTAGTTCAGACACATCCACACTGTTTTACACATCTGGGTAACTAAGAACTGAAACTATTCTAAATTGTCATCTGACTCTGATTGGATCAAAAATTACAACCCAAGAATCTTCACCCTGCTGAATAATTAAAATTAGCAAAGATACACGTATGTTGCCAAGAACGATTCAGGAAGACAAGGGTTCTCAAGACTCTTAGATCCACTGTCACCCTAAAGCAAATCCATTCACCATCAGTTAACAGGAAACACAACCTGTCCTAACCACTTGCAGACCTGTTAACCGACCAAGTTGCTTCAGGCAAATCATCTTCAGTGAAAGCCTAATTTTTATGTAAGATCTGGACTTGAGGACACTAGAGAACCTTTTGGTAAATAAAATAATAGGTAGGGAAAACCACTGAATGCTTATGATGCTATAATCCATGAAATAAACTGTTAAATTGGTGTTTATTTTTGCCAAAATTCATTAATCCAGTGATGTGTCAGAGACTATGTCTTCATATCCCAAACTGAAGTAAGCTTCTTAAGAATCTTCTCAACATTTTTCTTCAAATATAAAATTTTCATAAAAATCACATAAATTAAAGGATTTATGGATACGTTCATAGAAACAAGTTGTGTTAATGACTTTAATCCCCAGACTAGGTAGTGCAAAACCTGCTGAGCCTAGAACACTCCTCTGCTAAGGGCACTTGGCATCTTGGTCACAATTCCCTCCCTCCCTCCCTGCCTCTCTCCATAACTCTTGTGGTTCCTCTCTGTATAAGGTTCAATCTGAGAAGGCCAAAGGGTGGGGACTGTGGGAAGTACAAATGTTTTTCACTCCAGCCCTGTCTATAATACAGTAATTACAGCTTTTCTTTTACAGGAATGACATTTTACAAGTCCATCAATTCTTTTAGTTTTGGGGCAGAACACTCTGAATTCCTAGAGCTGTGTAAAAAGAACACCACATTTTAATAGTGTCACCAGGAAAGAAAGTCATTAAAGGCAGCAGAGCCACCCAGGGGACACAGTGCTCAGCTTAAATATTGACACAGGCAGCAGAAGATGAGGATTTATGTGGCTTCCTCTCTGGGATCTCTGTGCTTAATTCTATGCAACCACACCTGTGACATGTTAATGTTTCTTTGAATGTTATCAAAAGCAGATATAAATTCTTGTGCTGAAGCTATCCCCCCACCAGTTACACTCTCCCAGTATTTTAAGTGTTCTTCCCCTGCTGGGAGAGGTTTTGTCCTTAAAAGTGTCTTTTCATCCTTCAAATAAAGTACCATTAGCTGCATATATAAATGAATGTTTCTTTATATACATTATAGCTATTTTATATTTAGGATTTTTATAAGAAGTATAGAAAGAAATACTGTTTATGTTAAGAAATCAATACATTCTCTCTTTCAGCATCGTGGTGGATCCTCAACAACAACTAGCAGCCATGATTCCAAGTAATGTTGATGTTGCATTGTTTCTCGTTACAAGAGCATTCACGTGGCAGTTGTACAGCTGTGCTGGGGTATGAATCTATGACATGATGCTCTTTGTTATTATGAATGTCATCTTCTCCATTTTAAGATATGGAAAACTGCACATTTACTACCTTCTTTCTTGTGACTACTTCAGTGAAATGACGCATTCTAAAAGCTGAAATAAGGCAACTGTGCTAAATTGTTTACGGTGTATATTCAGTCCAAACTGTCATAGAAAAGTGCATCTTGGTTGGTATGACTAAATATTTGTGTTAAGTTTTAGTCCTATTTAATAAACAATTGTTACTTCATTGCTGCTGTTTTCTCCTGTTACAGAAGAAACAGGTAGGAACACATACTTTTTCATACTGTCTTACAGCTTCACTGAAGCCGAAGTCATTAATTAAGAGACTAAACATAGGGACAACTTTGTGTTACTACAGAACTTCACAAGGATTGAGCACAAGATTACAACAGGTGTCATATTTAGATACCTTTATGTGACCAAGGCATCTTAGCTCCTCTTGTATCAGTGGAGTTCTGAGGCAAATTAGTTACCTAAAAAGGCACCTATTACCTGCGAGATGCTCCAGTGTACCCCAGCTGGTCTCCAGCTCCCAGCTAAGAAGGGTACAAGCTACCTGTCAGTCGCGTGTCCTTTGTGCCGGCCTCATGCAGCTGCTCTGGATCTCCTCCATGCCCAGGGAACACCAGGTGCTGCCTTTCAGCAAGGGAACCAAACTCTTTGCCAATAAAGTTATTGGAGCCTGAGTCCTCTACACCAACGTGGGGTCAGGAAGTGACAGTCACCCACAGACACACAGCTCTAACGTACTCACACTAGTGACAAGTTTCACCTTAACATCTTCTTACAGTAACACAGCACAAGTGAATGCTTCTCATACTCCAGTCCAGAGCTTGACATGACCCAGCTACAGACCTGTTCATTCTTAAAAAGGCATCCAAATAGCCGCATTACACTCAGAAATGACATATCAGTGAAAGTTTAAAAGGATTTTTGTCTTTAGGAAAGTAACACTACTCATACTCCTGAAGATCTGGCTGGCTTTTTTCCTATGCCAAGATGTCAGTCCAGTGTACAGCATATTTTCTTTTGTCGCTGCTGATCTACCAACAGAGGACATACAGTGACATGTGACACTTCTGCAGGGTCAATCTTTCAGTGAGAATTGACACACTAGACTGAGGTTTATGACATTTTTTCCTTTTCACTGGAAAAAGCATATTAAAATTATTCTTAAAATAACCTGCTTCAAAACTTTATGCCGATTAGGTGATGGAGGAGGGGAAAAGTTCTGGAAGATTGTATATCCTTCTAACAGTTATTCTCCGTTGTTATGTTTACTGGTAAACACTTTGATGAATCATACACAAGAACAGATTTGAGAAGTTTCACTTATGAGTTTCAAGAGTCCCACACAGAAATTGCCGTCAGCACATACTGGGGAAAAAGATCCACAGGATTCATCCTAAGAAAATTCCCACTAATAAAAAAAACAACCAACAAACAATTTCAGTTTTTTTTAACATTACTTGTAAACAACATTCATATAGAATATACTCAATTTAATTGACCAGCAGCTGCTAAACATAAAAGAAACTGAATTCAAACAAGTTTATTTGCATAGTTCAGGGAAAGAAATCTAGTGTCTACCAAATGTAATTTGAAAGTTGTTTTCACTGTTGTGATCACCACTCGACACGTTCTTATTTAGCTTCCACTATCATTTGTGACAGTTTAAAAAAATTGCCTTCAGTGCCCAAATAGTGATCTTGTAGGTCTGAACATAGGTTTTGAAGGTAATTACATTAATACAAAATAACCATTCCTGATGCTTGTCAACTGAAGGACGCTTTCCACTACTGCTTTCCACTTCACTATTAAATACTAATTTAAGATAAGAAGTTACAGAATTAACTAACTATATAGAATTTGTATACCCATTTCCCCATATATGATGTGATTAAAATTTGTCACAACCCTCAACTTTGCCCATTAATTCTACTTTTCAAAGTCAAAACCATGGGACAATTAATGACAAAGAACTTCATGGAACACAGTGCATAGGTTCTGCTTGTTCTCTTGTTCTGCTCCAGGAGACATTTCTCATTTCAGTGGAACTATTAGTTACAAGAGACTTCGTACCTTGAAAGGAGGTACGTATCCACAAAATATTAAGGAATCTCTTTTGTGAAGGTATTCAAATTTCAAATTATGAAAGCAAGTGAAGGTTTTTTTTTTTGGGGGGGGGGGGGGGTTGGAGGGGGTAGGAAGCTAGGAGTACATAGCCTGAGACATCTGAGATTGGACACAGCCAGTATTTGCTGTTCCATTATTATTGCTAAGGTGGTGAGATGGGAGCAAGCAAAGAGCCCCAGTCAAGCACTGGCTTAGAATTTATGGTGAGACAAACTATAAGGTTACATAACACAAACAATGCAAGGACAAAATTCTGTTGCAGCAAAAAGCAAAGTTATTTATTTTCACTGCAAATGTATTACCATCTCAGGCATTAGAAGGAAAAGTTTGACTTTTAAAGCATTCAGGCAATAACAGAAAGGAACAGGCATTTCCATAGTTTCACAGAGTCCTGCTTTCATCAGTAGGCACCAAGTACCTCCAAAAATCTTGGAAGTTTTACATCACACGTAGCTCCTTCATTGATGGATTTCTCATTTTCCAAACGACCTGTCACTTCTCACACATATCAACAAAAGGGTTGCTCTTTTCCTGTAAGACAAACAAGCCCTCAAATTACTTCAAGTTACAATTTAAACAAAGTTTTCATGGGTCTGTTTATAATCTTTTTCTATTCCATGTGCATTTAACAATTTTGAGGTTTTTTTGATTAATGCAAAGAGTTCTGCTTTCATTAATCATAAAGACTTAATCTGAAATCTTCCTTGAAGACTTGGTCAACACAGTAAGATCAGTTCAGTTGAAATGCTGAGCTATGTGGGGATCAGGCCAACCCATACATCTTAGGAAAAAACTCCGTGTCTTTTGGGACAAATGCAACCCACAGCCCACTAACTCTAACATATCCCTTGTACCAGACACTCCAGGAAGCTTTCTCCATCTGAAGATATGGCTTTCACTCCTAGACAGGTATATACTTCAGCAGTAACTTCAAAAAACTCAGAACTAGAGGAGTCTTAAGATAGGCAAAAACCACCTGAATCCTCAACTCGGCAGCAAATTGTTGACAAGCACCTGTTGCTAGCTACAAGCTCACTGACACGTTGTAGCATCATCTGTTTGTCTTTACACATTTATTTGGAGGCCTCCAGTGTCCCTCTTACATTTCATTCATCTAACTTACATACTCATTTCATCAATCCCTCTGGTTTCTGTGCAGAAAAACGGGTGACAGAATCAAATCTGGAATTTTTCTATGTAGCCACAGAATCTGCTGCATGAAGGAAAGTGCCGAGGAAGGAGGACAACTAATTGAACACCCATCACTGTTCAGTGTAAGTAAATTAAGGAGTTTTGTAGGCTCCACTGAAAACAAGTCCTAAATAGTAGTGTCACCGGGATACAACCATTCTACCATCATTTCTGGTACTGCTCTGCCAAGAGAGTCCTGTCTTGAGATGACTGGTTATCAGGATGCCACAAGCAAAACTGCACAGAAATCCACTTCAGCACCTACCTTAGAGATCTCGGGAACAGCAGCATTCAGATAATTTCTCACTATCATGTCAGCTCTGCTACAGTATGTCCTTACTATAGTCTGTATCTCTCCCATCCTTCCAGAAACCACAAAGGTACAAGGAAGACTTTTGATTTCTTTTAACTAACACCCAATAAGGTCTGATGAAAGAGACACCGCTTTCACAGCCTCCCCAAACCAATTGGTTTTATTCACTGTGAGGGCATCTGAGCACTGCAACAGGTTGTGCATTCCCTCCACAGAGCTTGTGTGGACTCTGCCTGGGGACACAGTCAAAACCAAACTGGACACGATCCTGGGCAACCCGCTCCAGCTGACTCTCCTTGAGCCGAGGGGTTGGACTATGTGAACTCAAAAGGCCCCCTCCAAACTAGACTGTTCTGGGAAAATTCATTAAAAGGTACCCAAAATATGTTTAGAAAAGAAACAAATGAACAAGCAAGTAAAATAAACAACCAACAAGCAAACCCAAACCAAAGCTGTAGGTTGTACTTCTCATTGCTAAACAGAGGAGAAAGAAATAGAACCTGGAAAACACTGTTTGCACCAAACCTGAGGATGTTTGTAGTTGTCCTATGGGCTTTCCACTATTAATCAAGCTATTCTCTACTGTACTGTCGAATGCTCAAACTCTGACACCCAGTCTCAATAAGCAAGGTGTCACAAAGCAGGCAACTTGACATGACAGCCTGACTACACTGCACCAGAAGGAGCCTGAAATCACTGCCTTTTCTGGATAAAATACGTCTGAATTTGTCTTTGCTTTTTCTTTGATTCCAGGTGCCTTCTCAGATTACAGTCAATAATTATTAAATGCTTGTCCTCCAACCTACATATTGTAAGAAGTGTTAAAAAAAAAAAAAAATGTAACAGGCTCAATCCTTTCATGGTATATTAGCTTCAGACCCTTCTAATTTGAGATAAATCCTCCCCTGGAAATAAAAATTCATGCATTCCGCAAAGAGAATTTTTATTTTGGTATATGCCAATGGGATTTTTAACAAGGTTCAGACACTTTAAACAAGACCTTACAATGTTCTTGGAAATACTGGTAATGTTTTCCTTTCCCATGCCAATCAGGAAATTGCCAAGTGAAAAGCAGGCTGGTATATCCACATAAACAAATAATCTTAAATTCTTTGGGTACAGACGGTCTTAAATTCAATTCATGTTAATGCACCTCCAAACTCCGAATTTATTAAAACTGCAATGTCTTCACTAAAATTCAACACTAGAATGCAACAGTGGGTAGTTTTATCCTATGTT